TTGTCATATTTGTACAATACCATTAAATATGCCTTTTCTTTATAATATTACGTTTATTGGATGAACTAGCAATGATTCGCAAGTATATATTGCCAAATTAAAGGAGGTTCATTACTTCAACAATCGGAGCAAAGGAATTTTTTTTTCGTTGAGTTCCGGCTAACTTCCGCTTAATAAATATTTAATTAAAATTATCTGGATCACTCACAAACATTTTTAATCACACTTCAAAACTCCTCACACAAAATACAAACAATTCCATATAAAAATTTTATTCAATTTATCTATTAGCGCTAAATACATGGTGCAAAAATAATTAATTACAAACATAACCTTATGATAAGCTACAGAGGTATATGCTAGTTTCGCATAGATGCCGTCTGCTATGTAAGCTATTGACAATACAGGGTAGCGCAATATTGGAGGAACTATCAAATTATCTGTGTACATACTCATTTCTTGTGCTTAGCTTCTGTGTGCGATCATTTGTGATATGTACTTTCGCACGTGATACCTGACACATATCTTGGAATCATGAGATCTTACATTTCAAAATGTTTAGCAGATTTGCTAATTATTACAAGAAACAAAGGCCGCGTTCCGCGAAGAAAGTTGCTCAGTGGACGCATCGCGTTGATTGGGTTATACTTTTAGATCTGTGCTGTGATAGAACTATTCTTCTAGATTATTAAGGAATAATCTAATCGGCGCAACCGCTCACTGAGCAATTTTCACCGCTGAATGCGGTCTATGTCAGTACGGAACATACTTCAATACATATGCTATCTAGAGTCGGGAAAAACTGAGACATATTTCTTGAGAACAACATCATATCAGTGTATTAAGATACTCTGTCATAGACGAGGTTGGGACATTTGTCATGCAAACACTTGGCAGCAGAGAGAAATGCAACATTAGATTATTGCAATAATTTCAACGCAGCTTTTGCTTTTCAGTGTGCGTACTGACATGGTGTCTTGCAATAATTAGCAACTCTATTGTATGCTTTTCGTATGTAAGATCTTATGCTGCCTACATATGTGACAAGGATTACGAGCGAAAGTACACGTTACGTATAATTACTCACAGAGAGTCTAGCACGTGAGAAGAGAATATGAATGTAAATAATTTTTAAGTTTTTCAATATTGCATTTCCCAATATCGCCAAGCGCTTACACAACAGATAGCATCTATATAAAATTCCCATGTGGTAAGGTTGGGACATCTGTCATGCAGACACTTGGCAGCATAGGGAAATGCAATATTGGATTATCGCAATAACTTCAACGCAGCTTTTGCTTTTCAGCGTATCCGTACTGACACGATGTCTTGCAATTATTA